TACAGTAATAGGTGGAGACTTTAATACCCTACTCTCAAGAATGGCTAGATCATCCAGACAATCAATAAGGAAATAGAAGATTTGAATAACACTACATACAAAATGGACCAAACAGGGGCTCCTAGGTGGCTCAGTCGATTAAGCATCCGACTTCGGTTCAGGTCATGATCTCACGGTTTGTGGATTCGAGCCCCATGTTGGGCTCTGTGCTGACAGCTAGCTCAGAGCCTGGAGCCTGTCTTCAGATTCTGTATCTCCCCCTCTCTCTCTGACCCTCCCCTGCTCATGCTGTGTGTGTGTGTGTCTCTCTCTCTCTCAGAAATAAATTTAAAAAAAACATTAAAAAAAATGGACCAGACATACAGAACATTCCATCCAAGAGCAGCAGGATACATGTTGTCCTCAAGCATGCAGAGAATATTTTCTAGGACAAATTATATGTTAGCCAGAAAACAAGTCTCAAAAAATTCAAGAAGACAGAAATTATATCAAAGGTCTTTTGTGACCACAGTGGTATGAAACTAGCAATCATTAACAGTAAGAAATCTGGAAAAAGCACAAATACATGGAAATGAAGCAATCCTAACCACCAATGGTTAAAAAAGAAATATAAAGGATAACAAAAAAAATCTTAAGACAAATGAAACAGAAATACAACATATCAAAACTTACGGGATGTAGCAAAAACAGTTCTGAGAAGAAAGTTGACAGTTACAACTACATGCATCAAGACAAAAGAAAGATCTCAAGTAAACAGCCTAACTTTACACCTTAAGGAACTAAGAAAAAGAGAACAAACTAAACCCAAAGTTAGCAGAAAGAAAGAAATAATCAAGATTAGAGAAGAAATAAATGAAATAGACAACAGAAAAACAATGAAAAACAAAAGAGTATAAAAGAAAAATTAAAAATCAGCATTCATTTTCTGAAAAGATAAACAAAATTAATGTCTTTAGCCAGACTAGCCAAGAAAAAAAAATGAACTCAAATAAATACAATTGTAAATGAAAGAGGAGACGTTACAACTGATACCATAGAAATACAAGGGATCAAAGTGGCTGCTATGAACAATCATACACCAATCAATTAGACAACCTACAATAAATTAATAAATTCGTAGAAACATAGAATCTATGAAGACTGATTCATGAAGAACCAGAACTAGAAAATCTGAACAGTCCAATAATAAGCAAGGAGATAAAATCAGTTCTCAAACACTTCCCTACAAAGAAAAGCCCAGAACAAGGTTTCTTTTCACTGGTGAATTTTACCAAACATTATTTCTTTTCCAAGCATTTAAACAAGAATTAATGTCAGTCCCTCTTAAACTCTTTTAAAAAGTTGAAGAGAAAGGAATGCTCTTAAACTCATTTTACAAGGTTAGTATGACACTGATAGCAAAGCCAGATAAGGATACTGTAAGAAAATGACAGGATAATATCCCTGACATGTATAGATGCAAAGCTTCTCAACAAAATACTAGCAAACCAAATTCAAAAGCACATTAAAAAAATAATACACCATAAGCAAGTGGGATTCATCCCTGGGATGTAGGGATGATTCCCTGTATGCAGATCAATAAATGTGACACATCAAATTAATAAAAGGAAAGATAAGAATCATCTCAATAGATGTAGAAATTGACAAAATTAACATCCTTTCATGATAGAAACTCTTGAAAAATTGGATATAGAAGGAATGTACCTCAATATAATAAAGGCTATATATGACAAATCCATAGCTAACTAAATGGTGAAAGACTGAAAGTGTTTCCTCTAAGACAGGAACAAGAGAAAGGTATCCACTCTCTGTGATCCTCTTCAGCATAGTACTGAAAGTCCTAGCCAGAGAAATTAGGCAATCCAAAGAAATCAAAGATATCCAAATTGGTAAGGAAAAAGTAAAATTATTACTGTTTGCAAATGACATGATCTTAGAAATAGAGATCCATGATCTTAGGTATAGAAAACCCTAAAGACTCCCCCCCCCACAATCCAAATTAGAACTAATAAACAAATTCAGTAAAGTTGCAGGATACAAAATAAACATGCAAAAATCAGGTACATTTCTATGCATTCACAATGAACTCTGAAAACAAAATAAATAAAGCAATCCCATTTACAATAGCATCAAAAACAATAAAATACTTAGAAATAAATTTAACCAAGGAAGTAAAAGATCTGTACAATGAAAAGTATAAGATATTGATGAAAGAAATTGAAGACATAAATAAATGAAAAGATATCTCATGTTCACAGATCAGAATTAATGTGATTAAAATGTCTCTATCACCCAAAGCCACCTATAGAGTTAATGGATTTCCTATTTATTTATTTATGTTTTATTTATTTTTAGGAGAGGGAGAGAGAGACAGTGTGAGCAGGGGAGGGTCAGAGGGGGTCAGAGAGAGAGGGAGTCACAGACTGAAACAGGTTCCAGGCTCCGAGCTAGCAGTCAGCATGAGCCCGACGCGGGGCTCGAACCCCCGAACCGCGAGATCATGACCTAAGCGAAAGTTGGACGCTTAACCGACTAAGCCACCCAGGTGCCCCTGGATTTCCTGTTTAAATGCCAATGCATTTTTACAGAAATAGAACAACAAATAATACTAAAATCTACATGGAACCACAAAAGACCTGGAAAAACTACAGAACTCTTGAACAGGAATAACAAAGCTGGAGGCATCATACTTCCTGATTTCAAACTATACTGCAAAGCTATAGTAATAAAAACAATATAGTACTGGCATGAAAACAGACACATAGACCAATGGAACAGAATCAAAGAGTATAGAAATAAATTCTCACATGTATGATCAACTCAATCTTGACAATGAAGCCAAGAATACTCAATGGGAAAAAAAGGGGTGTCTTCAAGAAATGGTGTTGGGGAAACTGGATATATACGTGCAAAATAATTTGTATCAGGGAAATTCAAACCAAAACCACAAGGAGATACTGCTTCACACCTGTTGGAATGGCTATTATCCAAAAGACAATATAACAAGTACTAGCAATGATGTGAAGAAAAGAGAATATTGTGCACTGGTGGTGATGATGCAAATTGATACAGACAGTATGGAAAGCTGAATCAAAGTTTCTCAAAAAATGGAAAGTAGAATTACCATATTATCTAGCAATCCTATTGCTGTACATATATGAAGGAAATGAAATCTCTATCTTGAAGAGACATCTGCTGTTCCATGTTTACTGCAGAATTGTTTATAATAGTCAAGACACAGAGACAACCTAAGTGTCTACTGATGGATGAACAGGTAAAACAAATGTAATATATGTATATAATGGAATATTATTCAGTCACAAAAAAGGAAACCCTGTCATTTCCAATAATATAGATAAAAGCTAAGGGAATTATACTGAGTGAAATAAGACAAAGACCAATGCTGTATAATCCTATTTATATGTGGAATCTAAAAATAAATACTGAAGTTATAGAAACAGAGAGCAACTTGATGGTTGCCAGGGGTGAGGGTATGTGGGAGATATTTGAAGGCGGTTAAAGGTTTACAAATATTCTGTTAAAAGATGAGTAATATTTGGAGGCCTAATCTGTAGGACGGTGACTATAGTTAACAATTCTGTATTGTACACTTGAAAGTTGCTAAGAGAGTAGCTCAGTCCTCAACATACACACACAAGGTAATTTAGTGAGGTAATGGATTTGTTAACTGATCTTATTATGGTAATCATTTTACAATATATTCATGTATCAAATCATCGCCTCATACATCTTAAACTTACAGAATGTTATAGATCAATTATATCTAAGTAAGGCTGTGGAAAAAAATCTATTCTACTCCATTTAACTGGGTAACTGTGAATTGAAATGAGAAATGTAAAAGCCCCTTTATTAAAGCTTAAAACTTGTAAAGGTCTGAAGAATTATCACATTAATTTAAAAATATCCTTGTCAGAATTATAATTTAATTACATTAAACACCTGAGTGTTGGCTGTGTCCTTAGGCATCCTTTTAAAAAATGCCTAATAAAAGGGCCTTATTTACTTACCTTGAATGGTTATGGAGAGCTCAAATGAAATAACATAAGTGCAAGTGCTTTAACCATGTGTACAATTATGATTATTTAAAATTCCACTCAAATTTCACCATGAAAAATTTTCTTACTAAAAACTCACTCTTTGTATATACCAATCTTCATTTTTTTTTAAACATCCTTATACGAACAATTGGAAACAAAGAAATTGGACTTTGAAGAACAATTTGCACTTAAGTTCTATTGTAAGTTATGAAAATGCAAAGTTATCCCAAAATACTTACATAAAAATAGTAATCAAAAACCTATAGACCAATGTCATTAAATAGTTCTTTATTGAAAATACCAAAAATGAAAATAATGATGATTTGGAAACATAAATATGAAATCAATTCCTTCCAAAAAATGCATATAAATTAAATTATCCCTGGAAGCTTATTACTTTACTGGGCAAAATACCAGCAATGTGCCATAAAGGCTTATATTTTCACTCAGAGCAGTGACTTCGACTTGCACCTCTCTGCCACAACTAGAGTTTCTTCACAATAGCTGAGAGTATCCCATTCACACAGCAGTCAAGTTACTCATTATTTAGAATGCTGGATATAAAATCATCTGCTTCCAATTGTTTGATGGGATGAGGTATGAAAACATTGCAAAGAACTGACAAAGAAAAGAGATTCGAAACCTGTTCTATCTCAAATGACCTCCAAAATGGAGAGGGGTCATGAGATCAATGTTTTTGCCCACCCAACAGGGCAGATGACTGAATCATCAAGAAACGGTGGCCCAGAAAAGCAACAAGACTGCAAAACAAGTCAGCACAGGAAAGAAAATAAACACAAACATAGACACCAATCTTGCTCAATATGGCTGTCAGCAGGAATATAAACTAAATTTTAGACACTGACAGTAGTCCCTTGAAACAAAGAACAGTCCACCAATCCACACATTGTGAATGTTTTAACTGGTCCAGAGGCCATATTTATTTTCAATTGCAAAGAGAAAACATCCCCAAGAGGCAAAGACAGTTGGTATTTCCTGTGTCACTGGAAAACAAGCTGAGAAAAGATACTGAATCTGTCTCCCTCCACCAGATTTACTGTGGTAGCAGTGCCTTTGCAGGGCTTGTGGTCTGGATATAAACAAGAGCAACCTTAAAGCAGAGTTCAATCTAGCTTCATTCTTAGGAAAACTTACAGCTTTCAATTTCCAAGGTGCAGTTTTGTTCATCCAGTGGGTACCGCCTTAGGTCCATCATGCAGGCAGCTGTGGTTGTGATTCTAGAAGAGAAATAGCAATGATACATATTGTTAGCTGGGCTATGGCTGGAGTTGGGAAAATTAAATCCAAGTATCAAAGAGGACAGAATTGGGCCTCTAGGAGACTGATATAAGCCAAAGTTCTAGCAAAAAAGGGTGCTACAAGTTCAGATAACCATTTTCCTTCACAAGCCTTAGGCTGATTCATTAAAAACAACAATAACAAAAAAAAAAGGATGAGACTAAATCAGTATTTTCCCAAAGTGTTGTCCATTACCTACTTGTACCAAAATCATCTGGGAGCATTTGTTAAATAGGCAGTTTCCATGCTCCGGAATGTCTGGGGGGGTGGGAGGGATGGTCCCAGGGCTCTTTATTTTTATAAGCCTTACAGGTGATTAAGAATATCAACATAGATAATTCCTCTTCCACTCACATTTGTTTCCTCCTCCTTCTAATCTAATGTTCATTAAATCTTGGATTTGACTCATCATTTTTGACATTTCTATGCATTCTATAGTACTTAGTAAGTGTTTTAATACAACACAATATCAGCCTTTCATCTATCACCTGATTTGCTCTGTGCTGAGTAATCTGATATTCTCATAACCTGTTAGAGAGCATCCTCCAATGGATTGGCAGAGTTACTTATTCAGAACACCTGAAACCTTTATAATTTTATCAGGAAGATATGAATATGCCCCTTTATTTAATTTATTTTTTGTTTAACTTTTTAAATTTTTTTTATTATTTATTTCTGAGAGAGAGAGACAGTGTGAGCAAGGGAGGGTCAGAGAGAGAGGGAGACACAGAATCCAAAACAGGCTCCAGGCTCTGAGCTAGCTGTCAGCACAGAGCCCAACCTGGGGCTTGATCCCATGAACCATGAGATCATGACCTAAGCCGAAGTCAGACACTTAACTGAGCCACCCAGGCGCCCCTGAATATGTCCCTTTAATTCTTTATATTTCTCTGTCATATTTTTTTAGAAAGAAAGAGACAGAGCATGAGCTGAGGAGAGAGAGAGAAGAGAGAGAGAAAGAGAGGGCACAAGCTGTGGAGAGGGAGAGAGAAAGAGAATTCCACAAATCTGGATCATGACCTGGAGCCAAAACAAGAGGTGGGTGCTCAAACAACTGAGCCACGCAGGCGCAACTCTGTCATTTTTTACACTAATCTTGTATTGAAGATCTACTAAAAGGAGTCAAAAAGCATATAGTTCTAAATGATTTGTTAATATATATTTTTTGATCAATACGGTAGCACAATGTCATGAAAAACACAAGTTTTAGAATACAACAGACATAGGTATAAATTCTAATTCTGTCTCACTAACTGATAGACATCAAGATGGTTAATATTCTTTAACCAACCTTAGTTTCTTTATCTATGAGAAGGGGATATTATTAACAATAATAGTTACCTAACAGGGTTTCTATAAGAATAAATTGTGTAAAGAATACAGAAGAGTACCTATATACAGTGTGTCCTTTAAATCTGCTGAAAAAAAAAAAAAAACTAAGAAGAAATTGATATTGAATTTGACCAACTTTGGCTCACTCTACTCTGAAGGACACTTTACTATGAGTTGGAAAGAGAAAAATAAGATGCAGCCCCAGCTTGGGAGAAACAGTTTCCAGCTTGATACTTTTCACTAAAAGGTTGGGTTAGAGTGTGCAAGTAATCTAGGTAGACTGAGTCTACGAAATTCTTCAGTTAGGTGTGAGAGTCCCACTCCTTAGTTGTAGGTTGGAAATATGTGATTAACTTAATGTAAGTAGTTCATACCTTGGTTACTGCTTCATTAAGATTTGTGCTCTGTTAATTTTTGTTTTTCTTTTTAGCAGCAAGTGAGTATCCTAGGGCTGATGTTCATCCCTGATACCTTCCTTTCATTCACCAGGAGTTAGCTACTCTGCCTCAGCTCCTATCCATCTCCAATGTCTCCCTCAAAATCTATGGTCTTGTTGCCTCACCTCATGTAATTATTGTAGATAGGTCTCCTGGTCTCCCCATTTGCCTCTCTACTATCCATTATCCATACAACAGTCAGGTATTTTAAAAACATAGATTAGATTTTATCATTCATCTCCTTCAAGATTTAGTGGTTCTTTTAAAAAAATCCAAAATCTTGACTATGTTCTACTGTGCCCTAAATAATCTGCCTCTTCTTAGAATCTCAATATTATCTCATAACAAGTTCTTTCTCACTATTTTCTAGTGTTTGCATTTGTTCTTTCTGCCTAGAATATGTGTCTCTCTGAACTTCACAAGTCCCTCTTTTCTGATCCTTAAAGCTCAAAAGTCACCTCCTCTAAGAGACCTTTCCCAAGCAGCCCATCCAAAGTGGCTGCCTTAACTAATGTTCCATCTTATCTGTTTATTTCCCTTAGGCAAGTATCATAACGTGAAATTATCTTGATTATTTATCTTAGTTTTCAAAAGTTTTAATGAAGTATAGTTGACATGTAATATTAAATTAGTTTCAGGTATATAACATAGTGATTTAACAGTTATGAAGCCATAAGAAAAGAATGAAATATTGTCATTCACGACAACATGGATGGACCTAACAGATATTATGCTAAGTGAAATAAGTCACATACAGAAAGACAAATGCCATTTGATTTCACTTATATGTGGAGTATAATAAACAAAACAAATGAACAAACAAACAACAACAAAGGGAGAAACAGACTCATAAATATAGAGAACTGGTGATTGCCAAAGGGGGGGTAGGAGGATGGGTGAATTAAGAGGAAATAATTTTTTCTTTCTTCTTTCTTCCTTCCTTTCTTTTCCTTTCCTTTCTTTTCTTTCTTTCCTTCCTTTTCTTTCTTTCAGTTTCTTCCTTCCCTTTCGTCCTTCTTCCTTCCTTTGCTTTTCCTTCCTCCCTCCCTTCCTTCCTTCCTTTCTTTCTTTCTTTCTTTCTTTCTTTCTTTCTTTCTTTCTTTCATTTCTCTCAATAAAATGTAAGCTGTTGAGGGGCATAGGTTTTGTTGTAAGGCACAGATTTATTGTAAGGATACAATAAACATCTGTTGGATAAATGAAAACATGAATTATAAAGAGGCAAGCAGTTGGTTTTGCTGATTGTAAATCTTTTCTCTTGCTGCATTATTTCTCCTCTTTTCTTAAACTTATAACATGCTTTAAGTTTTAGGGCTTCTTATATTTTTAACAGTAAATACATTTTAATCCATTTAATTAACATTGCATAAATAGTACTAGAGTTTATCTTATCATCAAACTGATTGTTTCTGCTTTCCCGGATTCTTACCAAATACTTATATTTTACAAATTCTAAAAATTATATAAAATTAAAATTCACAATTAATTATTTACTCAGGGCTTACAAATGATAATTTATTTTGGCTATGCAATATGTGACTGAATTTTTCACTGGCCTACTGATTTCCTTCCTTCCTTCCTTCTCTTCTTCCTTTCTGCCTTTCTTGCTTGTTTCCTTCCTTCCTTCCTTTCTCTCTCTGTCTTTCTCTCTCTTCCTTTCACATGTAGCTACAACCTGAATTGTTACTAACATACAGAAGCCTGTATTATGTAGAAGATAAATTTACAAAGAAAATAAAATTACATATATGATGGGCATACCAAAACTCCCATGTTATTTCTGTAAAATAGCAGAAATAATCCCCATCTTGAGAAACTAGAGAAAATTAACTTCATCTGATATAATGAACACAAAGGACATTAAAGGTACAAGGGCATACATATGATTAAAAAAATGAGAGCCATAAACAGATGCTCAACAGTGTAAATGAGGTGAAGTTTACAATAGCTACTATATAGGTTGTGGTTCGCACTTTCTGCTGATACATATTCATGTCAACTAACATCTGTGAACTAGTGCTGTACACATTAGTGCTATGAACAAGAAAAATGAATTGACTAATGTTATTGCAGAAGAAATGAGTTTCTACTCACATTTAAAAAATAAAGATGAAAGTGTTTTTCTGACATAAACAAAATTTATATCAGTGTTTTACTTTTTTAATGCTATACTTCACTATATATATATATATATATATTTTTTTTTTTTTTTTCCCTAGTCAATGCTTGCAAGGCATTTGTGTCTCCTGTTGGGTTAAAGCAGAAAGTCTATGGACAAAATAATCCATTTGGGATCCTGTTCATATAGACCAGAATAAATGAGCTAGGATGAAACACTTAGATCCTAGGATACTTGGTTGCTTCTGAAAACTTGAATTAAAAACTTGCCAACCTAATTTGTTGTGAGATGATGAAGGTAAGAAGAGATCTGTAACTCATAAAATGTTCTGTAATTTTTGTTATTACCACCTGCTAATGAGCAAATACAGTGACAACTCATTTGACCAGTGGCTAATAATTGGAAATATGTATATGTATATATTTGTATACAAGAAGAAATGTAGAATACCCAAGGAGTTATAGTAAAAGAAAAGCAGAGAGGGGTGCCTGGGTGGCTTAGTCAGTTTAGCATTTGACTCTTGATTTCAGCTCAGGTCATGATCTCACGGGTTCATGAGATCAAGCCCCATGTTGGACTCTGTGCTGAAGGTGCAGAGCCTGCTTGGGATTTTCTCTCTCCCTCTCTCTCTGCCTCTCTCTCTCTCAAAATAAATAAACACTAAAAAATAGCAAAGCAGAGCTAAATTATATGATGTGAACAGCAGGCAAACACAAAAATAAGCAAAAATTATGCTATATATGTATATAGAACTCTAACAGATTTGAACACAAAGTACAGACATGTGTTAACAAACCTGCATCTTTTCCATGTGTTTTGTGATATCAGGAACTACAATTGTTTTTGTCTTATTTGTATTTCAAACACTTTGCCAGGTCCCTGGTACATATCACTAAACTCAGAATAAAATAGTAATGATAATAATAAAACAAAGAGAAAGAAAATAATTCATAAAAAATTCTTTTTTTTAATGTTTATTTTTTTTTAAAGAGAAAGAAAGAGAGAGAGCATGAGCAGGGAAGGGACAGATAGAGAGAGAGAGGGAGACACA